AGGGTGAGTGAGTAGAGCAGTGGGTAGTGTGGGAGTGAGTGAGAGTGGGAAGAGTGAAAGTGAGTGGGTAGAGTGAGTAAGTAGAGCGAGAATGAGTAAGTAGAGCAAGAGTGAGAGTGAGTGGGTAGAGTGAGTAAGTAGAGCGAGAATGAGTAAGTAGAGCAAGAGTGAGAGTGAGTGGGTAGAGTGAGAGTGAATGGGTAGAGTGAGAGTGAATGGGTAGAGTAAAAGTGAGTAAGTAGAGCGAGAGTGAGTGGGTAGAGTGAGAATGAGTGGGTAGAGCGAGAGTGAGTGAGTAGAGCAAGAGTGAGTGTGTAGAGCAAGAGCGGGTGGGTTAGTTTGAGAGTGAGTGAGTAGAGTGAGAGTGAGTGGGTAAAGTGAGAGTGAGGGTTTGTGTGGACCTGTGCCTGGTCCAAACTGCTTACATGTACAGGAGTGGATTTGTGTTGCAAACAGATGCTCAATTAAAAACAGCACAGGAGGCAGACTGGGCTGCAGAGGGACAGATGGAGGACAGAAAAGTGCCCGGTACACTCTTCATCCTGCTTAAGGAGCACAGAGTGGCATAGAAATGAATGGCTTGTTTTAAACGTGTCACATTTAATCAAAACATTATCATACACTGTATAATATAATACAACACTGTAGATGTCATACAGTGATTGGTATGTAATGGTAATAGATATTGAAAAAACACAAATACATACATAATGTAAGTGTTCTTGTGGGGTCTTACACTGACTCCAGTTACAGTGGGGCAAAAAAGTTTTTAGTCAGCCACTGATTGTGCAAGTTCTCCTACTTAGAAAGATGAGAGAGGTCTGTAATTCTCATCATAGGTACATTTCAACTATGAGAGACAAAATGAGAAAAAAAAATCCAGAAAATCACTTTGTAGGATTTTTAAAGAATTTATTTGTAAATGATGGTGGAAAATAAGTATTTGGTCAATAACAAAAGTTCAACTCAATACTTTGTAACATAACCTTTGTTGGCAATGACAGAGGTCACACGTTTCCTGTAAGTCTTCACCAGGTTTGCACACACTGTAGCTGGTATTTTGGCCCATTCCTCCGTGCACATCTCCTCTTGAGCAGTGATGTTTTGGGGCTGTCGCTGGGCAACACAGACTTTCAACTCCCTCCACAAATTTTCTGTGGGGTTGAGGCCTGGAGACAGGCTAGGCCACTCCAGGACCTTGAAATGCTTTTTACGGAGCCACTCCTTCGTTGCCCAAGCAGTGTGTTTGGGATCATTGTCATGCTGGAAGACCCAGCCACGTTCCATCTTCAACGCTCTCACTGATGGAAAGAGGTTTTGGCTTAAAATCTCACGATACATGGCCCCGTTCATTCTTCCCTTAACACGGATCAGTCGTCCTGTCCCCTTTGCAGAAAAACAGCCCCAAAGCATGATGTTTCCACCCCCATGCTTCACAGTAGGTATGGTGTTCTTGGGATGCAACTCAGCATTCTTCTTCCTCCAAACACGACGAGTTGAGTTTTTACCAAAAAGTTCTATTTTGGTTTCAGCTGACCACATGATGTTCTCCCAATCCTCTTCTGGATCATCCATATGCTCTCTGGCAAACTTCAGACAGGCCTGGACATGTACTGGCTTAAGCAGGGGGACACGCCAGGCACTGCAGGATTTGAGTCCCTCTCGGCATAGTGTGTTACTGATGGTAGCCTTTGTTACTTTGGTCCCAGCTCTCTGCAGGTCATTCATCAGGTCCCTCCGTGTAGTTCTGGGATTTTTGCTCACCGTTCTCATGATCATTTTGACCCCACGGGATGAGATCTTGCGTGGGGCCCCAGATCGAGGGAGATTATCAATGGTCTTGTATGTCTTCCATTTTCTTACAATTGCTCCCACAGTTGATTTATTCACACCAACCTGCTTGCCTATTGTAGATTCACTCTTCCCAGCCTGGTGCAGGTCTACAATTTTCTTCCTGGTGTCCTTCGACAGCTCTTTGGTCTTGGCCATGGCTGAGTTTGGAGTCTGACTGTTTGAGGCTGTGGAAAGGTGTCTTTTATACAGATAACGAGGTCAAACAGGTGCCATTAATACAGGTAACAAGTGGAGGACAGAAGAGCTTCTTAAAGACGTTGTTACAGGTCTGTGAGAGCCAGAAATCTTGCTTGTTTGTGGGTGACCAAATACTTATTTTCCACCATAATTTACAAATAAATTCTTTAAAAAAAATTTTTTTCTCATTTTGTCTCTCATAGTTGAAGTGTACCTATGATGAAATTTACAGACCTCTCTCATCTTTCTAAGTAGGAGAACTTGCACAATCAGTGGCTGACTAAATACTTTTTTGCCCCACTGTATGCTCTAGCAAAATAACCCTAAACCTAAACACTTACCTTGTGGATCTGCCTCCTTGGTTCACAGTAGATGATCCACAAAGCAAGGAGAATGTTTGTACTGAAATGGGTGGTAAATGTATAAAAAAAAGTAGAAAATAAATACATGCTGGTGGTGAGTTACCTCCCAGAACTCAGTCAGCACACAAGAATAGTAATCTTCGAATAAATCTGTGGTTTACTGTAGAACAAAGGGAAAGAGTACAGAAACACATATGTGGATGTTCTCTATAAACTGGAATACAGTGTGACTATTCATCCTCCTATTCTATGCAGCTCCCAAGGTAGAGATAAGATTTAATACAGACAGATATGTGTTCCCAGGGGCACAAAAGAACACAACTTTCAATCTTTTGCAAAAGTTGAGAGTTCACAATGAAGAAGGAGAATGTAACAGCAGCAACAAACAGAATGCATGAAGGAGACTTTCTTGGTACATGTAATCGCTATGTATGCAATTCTGATTAAGACACTGAACATGCATTATTCATTCTACGTAATAGTATGTGTTCTAAGTATGTGTAGTAATAATGATAAAAGTTAAACAAAGTGTGGTTAACAAAAACAGTGGTATGAAGTGACTGCTGGTCATGAGTGGAATGGAAGGACTAAAAACACCCATAAACAGCTCATATACTGTTGTATCACATTTGAGAGCCCCTGCTGGCTATAGCCTGGAAAAATTTAAATGAGCTGTCTGGCTGAATGCTGGTCACAATGTTAACATGTTTATACCATTACCCAACGGCTGTGGCAAGCTAACAGAACTATCACAGAACATGATAAGGACTCTTTCAAACAGCAATATACAAAGTAAAAAATATCTTACCTGAATGCCCAAGCAGTTAGAAGCTCCAAATATCCATGTACAACTGCTTTAGCACCACTGCTAGCAAGGTGCTAGCATAATCCTGCAAATCCCATAGGCACCAATAGAAACTAGCCAGAGGTGGTAAGTAATGAACTACAAGTACTTTGTTACTTTGTTACTACTCATTTTTAGGTATCTGTACAGTGTATTTCTGAGTATTTCTGTCACTTAATACTTTTTACTTTTACTCACTACATTTCAAAAGAAAAATCTGTACTTTTTACTTATTTTCAAAATAGGCTTGTTACTTTAGTATTAATGATCTATTTATTTATTTTATCTCTCTATCTACTTTTTTATGTATTAATCAGGTAGTTGTATTCAGGCACCCAATGAACCACAAATCGGCTCCGTTCTGGATGTGAAAGGGGAGAGAGGGGAGATAAGCGAACCCATGATTGGCTACTTTCACGGCTTACAGGCCCAGGCAGTGAGGAAGAAAAATAAACAGATGAGACAGTGGAATCCACAGAAAGTGACAGCATCAAGTCAGTGCTTAACTTGTACAGTGGATAAATATTAGATGAAGCTGAAGCATTTCCCATTCCACCTGTTGTAGTGGTTACATTTAAACGCCTGGACTGATGTTACTTCAGTCATTGCAGGTAAGATATAAACAGACCATAAACATGTCTCATGTCCGCCGTGGCAGTATGCTTTAGCTTAAGATGATAAGGTTTAGGTTTTTAAGATTGCTGTGTTGTTCTTCCTCGCCTTCGCACATCAGCTGCTTGATTAAACTTTCATGCCGTCTTCATTTGGGTCTCCCCACTGTGGCAGTAACCTGTGTTTTGGCTTCAATAATTGTTAGGTTTTAAGTTTGTACATCCTTAACTTTGTAGGTTTAACTTTGAACATCTAAGCTGTCATATTTCTACCTAGTTTTGTCGTCTTCTCTGGGCCCAAAGTAGTGTCTGTGGTGAGCTTGCTTTATACTGAAGATACTGCAGTGTAGGTTGTGTTTGTGTGATCCAGCTTTCCTCTGAAACTAGCATTGGTGCAGTGATGTAAAAATCAGATTAATACAGCCTTCTTATGACGCATTTTAAAATATTTTTATATCAAACATAATGAATGACATGCTCACAATCTCTTGGTGTAAAAAAATATTTCTACAACTTCAAGCTAGTGTTACTGACTGTAGACAGCGGGAAGGCAGAGTTAAGCATAGTGGGCTTAAATAAATTAGTCCAAATGGATAACGATTCTACGGGGCATGGCACTTGGAGTAATATATCACAACACATTTGACAGAGAATTACACATTGGCTGAGTGAATCTGTAGCTTGGGCTACATGTAAATCAGATTCATTTTGGCCAATTCATATTTTTCTTATGACCTTTTGGTGATGCATTAGTTCTTGGGTCTGCAGGAGTCCAAAACAATCCACTACTAGTCATTTGCTAACAGCAAGTAAAATGATGAGGATGCCTCAAATTAAATATCATTTTGATTCCTTTTTTCTGTAAAAGAGAGGGAGGTCTCAGCCCTACCATCCCATTTATATCATCCACCCCTGCTGGTATGGTAAATAGGTCAAGTGACTCTGTCCAGGACTCAGGCCCAGATGTTGGGACTAAAAAGACATTATATTTAATGAAAAAGATATTATTTTCCACTCTTCCAATGTAAACTTGTGAAGGCCAACAAAGAGGACCTAACACATTCACATTAAACACATAAAATCCTAGCTTGAAGTAACACATATCACTCAAGGTCTTCGGAAGGTCTTTATTTTCATCATAGTCTTAATATGATCACGAGAAGAGTGAGTCAAGCTGATTCACAGACACATGCATGCAGCATTCATATACAGCTGCAATCTTCTATCACTTACTAATTGCAACATCAGAACTTGGCAGGTAAGAAATGTAACTGATTTTATCCTGCAGCACCAGCAGAGACCATGAATCAAATCAGGAGCAGAAGTCCTCTAATGTGCAGTGTACTTATAAAGGTTTTGAGAAATTGTTCTACAATCAGATGTTAAAGCAGAAAAGATTAAGCTGGAACAGCCGTGTTACATTAGAAGATTCGCAGTTGATTTTACTGATCTTCCTCATAGTGAGTGTCTGCTTGCATGTCAGCTAGAAAGACAAAGAAAAAACATAAGCATTTAAAGTGATAGCTTAGAAATAAAATCAAATTTGTACAATTTTCTCCTTACACCAAATGTAGTCTATCAGCCAAGGTATGTTCAATATTTGACGTTTGCTTCTTTAATTTTGGATTGCTGGAGCTGTGAGTCTACCCAACTGTGCAAACTGCTTGGATATATTATTACAATTTCCACAAACCATGCTGAGTTGTAAACAGTATGACATGCAGCTATCTATAAAAATAGTATATATATATATATATATATATATATATAATATTTTTATAGACAATTTAAAAAAAGTACAGACAAATCCAGTCTCTAAGATGCAATGTAGACTTCTTTTTTCAATTTTTATAGATAACAGCAGTGGCAAACCATGACTATTAGTGCTAGACCTTCAGTTTGGACCATAAATGTCAAAGAAATTAAAAAAAAAGAAAAAAGCATCTCTATGATAATGCTAATTTCCACTGGCACCCCTATGGGATTCTAATAGTATGCTTGAGCTAAGCTAACAGCGATTCACATGAACATTTTTTGGCCATTCTAAAGACATCCCAAGTTTTATTTGAAGCTTATACCATACATATCAATATACATTTTTGCTTGTAGCAGTTTTACAGTGACTCCTTGTTTTAAAGAGTTTTAACTCCTTGTTTTGAAGAGTTTTCTCTGCCAGGGCAAATTTAAAGAGCCATTTAAATAGCTGCTGTCACTGTTTTCCATTTCTAATATCTGACTGAAATTCTTTGGTCAGATTACCTCTTGTATTCACAGTTAGTGACATATTTAGGACTTCTGAAAGGCCTAGAGTGATTTTTTGTCACAAAATTGGTCCCACTCATTGTAAATCAAAACATGATAGGGTGATTCTACTGACAGTTCTAGCTTAGCTGTATCTACCTAGATACAACATAGAAAAAAAAGATACATTTTCAATCAAAAAAGTATTACTACAATGCTTTCATGGTTCCAATACAACAAGAGTGATGATACTATTAAAAACAATAAACTTGTTTCTTTTGTTTATTTCATAGAAATCATTAGTCCTTTCTTCCCCACTGGATAACAGCGTTGGTTCACCACCCTTGTCCCGGAATACCCCGTGGCCTGCACCTTTTAGTGACTAGTAACTAGTATCTAGATTGTATCCTGATAAGATTTTTGCCACATGCATTTACACTTGGTAGACATATGCGTGTCTGATTGGTCAGACTGAAACCCGACTGCTGTGTGGTACAGAATATGCAAATCTGCTTGTTCTTTGGAAGCCATTCTCTGAGAGCTGTTTAGATATTTGTTTGAATTCTACACAGTTCCTGTAAGTCATCTGCAGTTTGTTTTGCACAGTAGTGTTTTTCCATATTGCTATTAAACATTTAGTTTCATCTGGTCACTGACCATGTGCGTTATCTTCTACCCAGACATAGATCACGCGCCCAGTGACATACTGCAAGGGGAGGAGTTTCAGTTGTACTGGGAGGAGTTTTGGTTATTGAATGTGTCTTTTAGAGACGGATGTGTTTACACTGCAGTAACATGGCTCAAATGCGTCTCAGACCAACTGAAGTGGTTTGTGCATTTGGATTTGTATCTGTGCGTTTACACTTGCATTTTTACATGACTTGGCCTTATCCAGATAAAATCCTGATACTCAAAACGCATGAAGTGATCAGGTACAAACAGGGTCTTAGTGTTATCAGTGTTCCCAACACACCTAATCCAACTAATTGGCTAATTAACAAGCCCATCCTGAGTAGAAGTGGGAGTGTTAGGGTACGAAAACACTAAAATGTGCAGAGCCGGGGGTGCTCCAGGACCAGGTTGGGGAACCTGTGGGATAACAGTATGTTATACAGTGTCGGAAACCTTATAATGAAGTCTGTTGAGATTACTTAATATCTGTACATAGTCTGAGGCAAGTGTATGATGATTTAGGCATGCAGTTCACATGATGCTAATTGCTTGGGTATTAGCTTCCATTTAGCTCATTAGACTCGTAGCTCCAGTGCAGAACTTAAGAAGTAAATCTTGACCTCAACATGTCTCGTCTGATTGACTACATTTCTGGTAAAGTTAGAAAAAAAATATTTCAAATTAGAGTAAGGCTGGACAGTGTGTACGTGTTTATATACTTATACATGCTTGTGTTTATGAGAGAACAAAGAGCAAAGTAACCTGTAAACTTCTGTAGGCTTCTTTGACGCTTCAGTACAGCAGAAGAATAATTTCCTCTCTATAGTAAAATGAAATTTGCGTATACACGGTCAAATATGCAGAGTAATGTCATATACTGTATCTGTACCGAAATGTGAAGTGTGAGGTCACATAATAGAATTGCTGTTAACTTACTGGAGCAAAGCTAGCACTTTTCCTTATTCCTGCTGGGTTTATTTTGGGGGCTGGGTAAGGTGGAGGGAGTGGAATGGAAAAGCTGCTGGCAAGGTTAACATTGTGACCGGTACCAGATGAGGCTACCCTTGGATTAGAAGGGATGGGGGGCAGGGGTCCCTTCTTCTGTGCCAGAGAAACAGATGCAGCATTAGGGCTAGAAAGAGTCTTTGAAGAAATAGTTGATTGACTAGTTGGGGTAAAACTTATAGCTGGTTTGATCCCTGGTCCCACTGTTGTACTGGTCATCCTCAAGTCAAAGGGGGGTGGGGTTTTGGGGGATGGCGACCTATGTAAGATTGTGTAACTTAGTCAAGCAGGTTAGAGCCCAGAACTAAGATCTAATCAAGTCATCAGGTATTTAAAAAACTGAGTGGATATAAGTGCATGTATGTATGTAACTGTGGACATTGCTCACCGGCTCTCTTTTCCAGAATTCAGCTTTTCCCTCAGCAGCCAGCCAGAGGCAGAGTCCAGACTGTGTGTGCGCATGAAGACAGGGTGTGCTACAGGACACATTTATAAATTTCATTATATTATTGTTGTAATGTCAACAGGCCAACAATATTATAATCCCTAGGCAACAATATAATAGTCCCTAGGTGGAGGGGGCCCTCAAAGGACATAGGTAAAAAAAGTTTGCCCAGAAATGTGTGGAATATCTGTACTACTTAAATGTACGCTAAATGTATGTTTAACCAGTGTAAAAGAAGTTACACAGACAGACTCAGATTCAGACACAACCAGCCAGTAACCAGCATTTTGGGATGAAAGGAACACAAACGTGATTGATTGCGAAGGGAATGGTCAGTTTTCACACAGTGGAGGAAATTTACTTCAAAGACTTTGTTGCTATTGAACTAGAACCCTTTAAGGACCCATACCTTACATTTTGTTGTATTTTATTTTTTTCCCCGGAGGTTCGCTTATAACATTTGTTATAAGTTTTTATGTACCAAAAACACACACGCATACATTTTCTAAGCCAATTATACTCCTAGTCACGGGAGGTGCTGGAGCCTATCCCTGCGATCGCTGAGCAGAAGGCTGTACCAAAACAGTCATAATTAATGTTGTTCATCCCTTTGAATTAAACAGGCAGTTTTTGGTACGGTGACTTCTAGACTATATGTAAATGACTTCTGTTCTGATTGGCTGCTCTATATTGGACGTCATTCGAAAAGCAGTTCAGGTTGAAACACTCCTTTTCACTTGAATGAGCAGGGATAAACTGCATGAGTGTGAATAGGCAGATATATGTAAATGTATTAGTTTTCATGACTTTGACAAAGTCTTTTATTTCAAAAAGCTTTTTTTTTTTTATTCTTCATGATTTGAAAAGGGCGGATGCCGTTTATTTTGGAAATTTCATGATGAACAGGCTAATAGAAATGGACCAAAAAACTTGTGTTTGTCCTTCTCCAGAAAAGTTATCATTTTAGAGATACAAGGTTTTGTTTTAACAACAAAACCTGCTTGATCATCAACCTCGTATCTCAATTTAACTAATATTTGGCCTTTTTTTTACATAATCTGTAAACCCCAGCTGCCCTTTACTTTGTGTGAAAATGTCACAATAAATGGAAGGATAGAAATGGTGCAAAACGTCTTGGAAATAAATCTTTTAGCGTTAACTTCCATTATAAGTTCCTTATGTTTTTTTCTTCTCCTGAAAAGTTACCATTTTGGAGATACGAGGTTTTGTTCCAACAGTGACAATATATGAATGTCTATTTGATTGCACGTCCCTAGTTACAACACTGCTATGAGCATTATTTACCAGATTTACAGTATGCCTTCAATGTGAACACAAGTGTTTGACTAAATATATACTAAAGCAGCGCTTCAGGATGTTGTTGGTCAGACCTCTAGTACTCTTGATGCACTTTTGTACAGCACCATAGAAACGACCAGCCTCCTCCTCATCAGCAAAGTTCAACCCAGTCCGGCATTCCTATGGTAAAAGAAGGACAGGCATATATACATCACAAAGACACACATAGGGTAAATGTTTTCCAATCTATTCTAAAGCAACTGCCCATTGGTTTCTATTATAACTGTGTTTGAGTTAGTGGGTTTTCTGTTCTTATTTAAGTGCAGGGAAATCATTCTTCATGGTAATCAACTGCATACTACAGATAGAGCAGATAGAAATTAGGTTGGGAAATTCTTAAGTGTTCCTTTTAACATACAGTCCCACACAGGAAAAAGGGAAGAAGGCGAAATTTAGAGGAAGCTGTGTCACTAACATCACCAGGGAAAGTGTGGAAATAGGGACGGGGCGCTAAATACTCAAACGGTGAGTACAGCTCCTGCTCCCAAAGCAGCTTTGCTCTCTGCAGACAGAAACACAGAGATATTACTGCTATTACATTTACAGTCAGTACTTTGGTTAAAGGTGCATTGTGTAAGATTTAGTGGCATTTAGTGGTGAGGTTGCAGGTTACAACCAACTGAATATGCCTCCCTCACCCCTCCAATTCCAAGCATGTAATAGAACCTTCAATGGCTGTCAGGTTTTCTGTCATTGCCTGTCCCAATTTCATTTTGTTTCTTCACTTTTTCACTTTTGTGATGATGAAGATTCACCCTCCCTCGCTTTTTCTTGTGCTATAGCGCCACCACATTCAAGCTGCCACTTCAACGCACAACACGAAAGGCACTCCCTGGAGCCGGTGTTCCATCATGTTCTGTAGTAGTCAGTGGACTACAATAGAACATGGCGGCCTCTGATGGAAGAGGAACCGATCCCCATGTAGATATGAAGGGCTCATGCTAAGCTAACAAAATACGAGTCAGTTTTGTATACTATATTCCATTTCTGCAAAAAGATCCCACTAAATCTTACACAATGCACCTTTAAGATAGTCATGCATTAGAATATAGTCAAAGCTACCGGATAAACAAAAGAATCTGTCCAAATAAAACATTATTTAATATCATCATATCAGTAATGTACTTATACATAAACTCAGACCAATATGAACATGAGTTTGATGGGTATCTGTGTAATAGAATTAGGATGTGTTCTTGCTTGTGTATGTGTATGTAACCTTGACGGAGAAGAGTCGTATAAATGATGATTGTAATTTTCTGTCCTGCACCAAACACACAACTCCACAGCTGTGAAATTTCCACTCTGACTTTTGACCTTTACAAGCTGCAGTCGCCATGAGTAGCTGCACCACAGCACAGGCAGAAGCCTGAAACACACACACACAACACAGTCAGCTCCATAATTATTGCCGCCCTTGGTGAAGACAGATAAAAAACATTTTGAAAAAAATGTCTTTTAATTAAAGTAAATTTAGTCTAAGAAAACGAAAACCTTTATTAAAGTCTTTTAACAACTGAAGCATGTTCTCATTTGTTTTTAACTTTTTTAAAGTCCACTTGAGTGTTGAGGAACTCTTACATAGTCTTCCATGGCTTCTTGTTTTACTGTGGTATCAATATGAGGTGACACAGAAGCCAAATTCCTTTAGTCATTCATCAACAAGAGGAAAAATAGAGAATATGCAAAAGATATGAGATAAAAGTTTGTACTAGCTATATGCCAGAAAATGTCTATATCCACTGTTAGAGCAATAATTAAGAAGTTTAAAACAACCGGAGCTGTAGTGAACCTCCCTGGAAGAGGACACAAGTATATTTTACTCACACGCACAGTGAAGAAAACGGTTAGAGAGACAAACATTTTTCCAAGTTAGAGTCATAGTTAGAGAGTTGCACAGCTAAAGATGGTAGCATTTGGGATCACCAATTCTCCAAAACTACAATAAGATGCCACCTCCATGCCAGCGGCATATTTGGAAGGTGTGCCAGAAGAAAACCTTTTCTTTCATCTAGCCACAAACCTAAGCAGCTGAAAATTGTTATACGCTACTGGAACTGGGTTCTAAGCACAGGTGAGCCAAAAATAGATCCTTTGTAAAAAAAAAACAAAAAAACATATTGTTTGATAAAGGTTTTTGTTTTCTTAGATTGAAATTAAGCATTAGACTTTTTATCATAAGATTGGTCTAAGATATTTTTTCATGACCCTTTTTACCCACCCAAGGGTGCCAACAATTATGGAGAGCTGGCTGTAGCAGTAAATTAATACTGCGTGTTGTTTTTGCTAGTAAAATCAGTTATGCAGGAAGAGAGCACAGTGCAACACACAAACTATCACAAACAAATCAGCCTCTAAATAAATGCTGTCTGACAGACACATTTACATTTAATATCCTCTTATACTGTGTGAGAGCAAGAAGCAGAGAAATTCTTTATGTTTTATTTTTACATCCTTTATTATTTAGAAACTCTAACAGCTGCCTCTGTCCTTACTGTGTGGTTAATTTTCAGTAATTAACCCCTTAAACCCTAATGACCTGCACATTAACCCTCACTTTAGTTCTCCCCTCTCATAACTATATAACCGTCATATTAGTTTTATAATACTTTCTGAGCAATAGTCGCTGAATACCTCACAACACTTAAAAAGATGACAAATGATAGAAATCAAGAACAGAACATGGAGAGTGAGGTAGAGCAGAATAAAGAGAGTTAGAGGAGAATATAGTGAAATACTGAGGACTCACACTGCAGTCCTGGCCTAGCATGTTGAAGAGGAGGCCATTCTCACGAGTGGACAGAAGTGAACTTAAAACCCGCGACATCTTTTCTACCCTTTACCTACAGCTGATCTCTCTTTTCATCTATGACATTCATGTTTGTGCTGAAATCTACATAGGATTATACAAATACAGCACGCCCACATACAGTGCTGTGCTTCCTCATGCAAATCATTGGTGCCATGTTCAGCAATACTGCTTTATTATCACATGCAGCACACACACCAATACCACCAAAAGGCTTTTTAAAGTAATGTCATGATTTCCCAGCACTTTTTGACTGAATTCAGGCTGGTTTTATTTGAAAAAAAAAACAGAATTACCACTTTCTCTAAACGCACAGACAACAGACCTACAGCTACAAAGAGAGAGACAGTTAAACTCAGTAGCAGATCCAGTTAAAACCTCCACTTCAACTGGAGTGCAACTTTGTGAGGTGCAGCCCACTAATCTTTTTTTTGCACAGTTTATGCTGCCATGCTATGTAAAATTTACTACACATGAGCTGCATTATTCCTAAATAGCTTAACCATTTTGAAGTTAGGTGCAGAATGAATATCTTATTTCAGTCCATTGTTTCACCTAAAAAAAAAAAACAAAACAAAACAATAAAACACAGTGCCCCCTAATACATGATAGACTGTATTATATATTTAATGTAAGCATGGACATATGTTTTATAATTTGACATATCGTTTTAAACTTGTTTTGTTCATATAGATGGTTTAATAGGTTAATACATATATTTTATCGGTTAAGATGCTTATAGCCTATTATACACCTGGGCTTTTTGGAGAGCACCCCTTTGCCAGCAAATAACCCTCCAGCCATGAAGTTACAGAAAAAAGTCATTCATTATTCACTGCTTAAGGCTGGCTGTATAGTTAACTGAATGGAGAATGAACACAGAACAGCCAAAATATTCATCCATAACCTTGAAAATTTGAGCAACACTAGAACATGACTGGCACTGTTTCAGTAAAAGGGAACCATTTTGTACACAGGTTTGGTCTCTCACAGTTTACAAAAATGTGTCTGTACTGTGTTTAAAGCTCTGATAATATGCTCTAATAACCACTAAGTATCTTGCAAATACTTCTCAAGGGGATGTTATTGCCAAATGTCAATTGCATGAATTTCATCACATTTTGCCCAAACTATGACACACATAAAATCCATTGAACTGTACACGACTGCTACTCATATATAAGACAGAAGCATATTTGTATATTTTATATCATTCATCTTTGACAAAAAGAGCTGTTGTACCTCTTAAATGTTATCCATGAGACAGCCAGAGAACTGTAATCTAGGACTACTTTTTTGCATTGTGCATGGTAACACCGCCATCTAGTGGTTAGATTTATTTTAATCAATCTTCGTAAAGGCTCTGATTTTTGTAATCTACAGTGTGTCCTTAGTTTAGCCTCAAATGAATCAACATGCATGTGTGAATAGGTCAATATTCAGATTATTTGGGTTGGAGAACTACAGCCCTGCAGAGTTCAGTCTAAAGTTAATGTTACATGGCTGGTCCAGATCATTTCAGCCTTTTCAGAAGAGTAAAGTAGGTTGCACAGTATCACAAAAGACTCTAAAACATATAGGTCTTGTGTGCACTGATGTCTCCAGAGACACTACAATATATAGGTCTTGTGTGCACTGATGTCTCCAGAGGTGAAGTATCCTGCTTGATTAACAGGCCAGTGTCCAGGGCTTGGAGTTGGGGTGTGTACTACGAGCTGAAACAGCGCACTCTCAGGATGGTTAGACATCACAGGCTGATATAACTGCACATGACCATCATGGCCTGGCCAGAATGCGTTAGGGTCAGCACGCCGGGTCAGAGGCTGCCTTCTGCTCCTAGTGGGTTTGAGAGGAAATAATGATCATGATGTTAAGGTGCAGAATGTCAACTTTAATCTGAGTGTATTTACATCTGTATGTGGTGAACCACTACATGAGTCACCATCCCTTACCTCTCTCTGTGGACTTTATGTAGCGTTGATTCTTGTTCCTCCTCATTCTCTTCTTTTTTTCCCTTTTGAGAAGAGTTGCTGTAGGACACTTGTCCCCTCAGACGCTCACCACAGCCCAGAAAAGCGCTCGAGCTCACCTGCCTCAATGCCAACCCCTTACACCCACTTGCATCTCCAGGGTGCAGAAATACTTGGAAAGAGTGAGAAACAGAGTGTATGTGACTTTGCTTAGGATTTAGTGTTAATGGGTATATGATAATAATTTAAGGAAAAAGAAAAAAAACATAAAATAATACAGCTGCACTCATTATATTTGTAGATCAATAGAAAATAGAAAAATAAAAATATGTGTACCTCTCTGTAGTGTGGTGGGGCTAATAGGCAGCTTATGTTGTTGGCACTGCTCCAGAGAGTCTAGATATTCTCTCAGACTCTGTCTCCTGAAGCTCTCCACAGCCTTGCCTGTATGACCACCCAGAGTGGATGGGTAAGAGTGGGTCTCACTACCCATTCTGACCATTTTTAGACTAGCCAGAACCTCCTCATCTTGCATGGCTCCCTGCTGCAGCTCAGACATCAGGGGTCAAACAGCAAAGGTGAGACTGTAGCATCCTAAATATATATGTAGATTTACAGCCATGTGCAAAAATTTGGGTGCCCTGGTCAATTTACATGTATTGCAGATTTTCTAAGTGAACTTAACACATTCTCTACAGAGAACACACTTCTGCACAGTTTAAGCACAAATACTTTATTTGCTGAATTTAACATGAATTGTAGGAAAAAAATAATTGTGGCCTGTGCAAAAGTTAAGCTTTCATGTTTTTTTGTTTTTTTTTTTCAAATATGTTCAACTCAGCAGATAAATAGAAATTGTGCACTAAAGTATGCAGGAAAACGCCATATTTACGTTTGTTGTTATATATATATATACATATATATATATATATATATATATATAGAGAGAGAGAGAGAGAGAGAGAGAGAGTGTGTGCACCTTGCCCATGTCACTTAGGTGCAGAGGTGCAGCTGGGCTTTTCCTCGTTTCTCTCCTCCGATCCATGACCTCGTACTCCAGCTCAGTGAGGGTGGGTTTGCTGTCCAGCCACCCATCCAGCTCGCCCAGGCGGTCCAGCGCCCCGCGGAGCGCCCTCCTCTCTCTGATCCACTCTGCCAGCTCCGCGCCGCCCTCCCCCGTGTAGCTCGGCTCTCTGCGGGCGGATCCCTTTGCAGAGACCTCGGCTGGGACAGGAGGAGCGCGGTGGACCGGGACAGTGAACTTCGGCATCAGGGGCGCCACCGTGAGGCGCTCCCTGCATTTCGGCGGCCCAAAAGCGCGACAAGCCATTTTAAAGAAGTAAGTTTGGAACAAATCTCTCTTCTTTAACCGCCTGAACTCCTCCTCCAGCAGCGGGTCCTCCATGGCGAGCTGACCTGAAGGGAATGATCCTCTAACAGTCTGCGCGGGCTGCCGGATCCTTCTTCGAGACTTGAGCGCCAAAAGCTGAGGCGCTGTACTTTGCGCGCGTATCCATGGCAACTAGGCTACGAGTTCTGCAGTTTACGTGTGTACTTCTGACAACGCAGGGCTCTGTAGTTTACGCGTGTATCCATGGCAACAGAGTCTGCGGCAATCGGACCTTCGTCCTACATTTCACAAAAGCTAAAGGCAATTAACAGGTATCACCAGTCCTTATACCTTACTTGTGTTTACACGTTTCTGAGTATTTTCAAACGATGATGTTTTCACTTTTACTGTCTGGCATTTTATGCAGTTCCATTATACTCATTCACTTTTTCTAATTAATTAGCATTTCACTTGTGTTTTATTGTTGCTCAAACCTCACATTCGAGTTTCTTATTTCACACCAAAATTATCCCGAAAAGAGAAGACCACCTAAGAAACCTCTAAGTACTTTTTACAGCGACTCAGTTTGATTTTAGTAAGTATTTTCTTTTACTTCTACTCGAATTAAGTAACTTGAGTGACGAGGCTGAAGTTGGCTTCTTATTTAAAAAACTACACCACAGGATAAAGTGTGGAATTAGAGAGACCATAGAATATGGGGTGTTGGTGCTTGCTGCTTTTAAGCTTTGTTTGCACTCAAAAATGTCTTGTTATAAACTAGAGGGCGCTCCCGAGCGAGTCTAACATAAATAGTTTCCTATGGAGCTTTAGTGCAAAATCATGTGCCGTGTCCAAACCACTACACCCTACACTGGAAAATCTGGATCACTATATAAAGCACTGTTATAGAGAACAGAATTTGATGGTAGTAAACGATTTCAGACACTACTTCATTCAGGTTTGCTCATTACAGCAGATTCCATTGCATAAACACTATAAACATCAGGCCACCAGTCCACTAACCGCAGAGTTTGACTCATGACACATGAGAACAACTAACTTAGCCTACATCTGTAACAGGTCTGAAGAGACGTCTGTGGAGATGCTGCCATTGCTGCTGGGCTTGCTAATATTCAGAGAAGTTGCACGAAAATCTTCAAACCAAACAACACAGTGCATTATGGGTATCCTAGGATAAGTTGTACACCACTTATTGCGGTGCATTGTGGGATTGTTTGAGTGCACTGGTTCTTCAGCACTATGTCTTCGGACACCGCTACAAAACAGCAGAACCCATAAATAGTGTAATAGTGAACAGGGTACAATTTAGGACACAACTATAGTTTGTTAGTTTGCTTAATTTTTTTTTTATTATTATTATATCCTCCTTATTCTTATGCTCCCATAATGCTTGAGTAACTTATGGCCCAGAAGCTCCAGCAAACCATAAATAGACAATATGGTAAATTCTTAGTATCCTAACATGATGGAAATGTGGGAATAAATAAAATATATAACATTTATGGTTGGGATGCTCAAATGCTTGTGTGCCGATGTTTGTAATCAATCTCTCAGCTGAAACTTGATCCTGTGGGAGAGAAACACTTTAGTCAGAGGATCCTATTGATAGCCTGCCCAAATTATCAGTGTTAATAAAGTCATTTAATTTTTACTTTTTGTGTTTGCACTGCACCTGTGATGGACTGGCAACCCGTCCAGGGTGTTTCTTGCAGTGAGCTAGGGATAGGCTCTAGTACCCCCTGCGACCCAGGAGGATAAACGGCTGAGAGGATGAGTGAGTGAATGAGTGTTTGCTCTAAGCATCAGATACAAGCAGAGATCCATAAAGCAATACCATTACATAGCTGTTTTTTTTTTTAAACAAGCACTACAATAATACTCCTTGTATGTTCAGCATGGTTAGTGTCAAGCTAGCAGCATTAGCTCAGCTCTGTATTGGATTTTGATGTCGCCTCTAGTTTAAATACAGCATTTTTACATGTTAAGCCTCATTATTCAGTAACTACAGGGACTTCAATGCAAACTGGTTGAGCTATTCTTAGATTATAAAAGTGTGTAATAAAACTTCTATCCTGCCCAAAGCTTGTAACAGACATGCAAGTAACAATTTTTATATGTCTCAGTTTTTCAGTAACTCTTTCTTTAAAGGCTTGAACTTGAAGCCTGTCTTTTATTATTGTAGTGTTAGCCAGTTAGCTGGTTCACTTTCTGTTGACTTGCTCAGCCTACTCTAGTGAGGGCAGAATATAGCCAGTTATAAGGAGAATATGAAGTGTAAACTAGTTAAAGCGAGTCTTTTTGGAGCAAACTCTCTTGCGGGTGTCCTCTAGTGCTTTTACAGTCATATTTTTGATATAACGAAAGAAATGGGTAGTGGCCAGGCTCCCCTTAGAGTGGCTCTGATGTAACTTAGGAAAGGCCCAAATCACAAATGTTGGTAGGGGTGTGACCACATTAATGACAAGGCATGCTTACCTTGTTATCACAAACCATGGTCAGATTGTTATTGGTGACATGGTCACAAAATGCAACCCCCCAGCACAATTTGACAAAGTGACTTTGACCTTGATTCCCTTAAATGCAAAGAGCTGTTCCAACATTGACCGCTGGCTTCAGGTAGCCGGTGGTGATAACATTTGCCATCACATTTTAGCTCCTAGTCAGCATATAATACACTTATTTCACATTTAATTTGACAATCACAAATGGACACATTAATAAAACATTCCACATTTATTTGCTTTTTTTAGTCAGCAAGCAATTCACTTACACATACACTTAATATTGGCAGCGCGTTTATACAATCCATTTATATCCCAGGCTTTTGCAAAGTTTCATAGTATGAATCTACTCAAAATGTCTTGAGCTGATTGGCTTATTGACATAATTTACTGTATACTGTGCAATAACTCTGGTGTGTAATGATTTAAATGTTCTCTAATGTGTACTGAAACTATTGCATGAGGTTCAAAATCACTACATCACAGAAGTGAGATGGCATGAGAGAGTAGTGTAGTTCTATCAGTGCAGTGCTTTGTACAGTATATGTTCATCCTGTACATTGTATGGCATGGTGACTCTCAACTGTGGCTGATCCTCCATGGTGAGCTGGACTGTCTCATAAGCGTTAGCGTTTCCTGACCAACATCTCCGAGCCACCTGCAGAAACAACCATCAGTACAAAGAGTGTGGCCAAAACAACTTTTGTTTTAATGGACCACCACAAAATTGTATTTAAGTGTAAAAAAGAACAATTAAAATAAAAACTGCAGTGACACTGACATAGTGGTGGTGTGGTAGCCTGGTCCTGACCATTGAAGAACAGGGTGAAAGGGAGCTAACAAAGTATGCAGACAAACATATGTACTACAGTCTGTAATTGTAGAACTACAAAGTGCTCCTATATAGTAAGTGGAGCTAATAAAATGGACAACGAGTGTAAAAACAAGGAGGTAGTTCTAACAAAGTGGCCAGTCAGTGTATGTTAAAGAAGGTTGGTATGTGACACTGGAGCATTTCTTATATATGGACTACCATGTCTATTTTGCCAAGCACTCATTCACTTACCCCATTAGATACATCCCAGTTCAGCATCGTTCTAGCTCGCTTCCCAGCCTCCTCAGAGCCATCCAGAACCAATCCAAAGCCTCCATTCATCACCTCCCCCCTGAATTAAAAGTAATCAATATGTAATCACTACCAATAAGAAATAACAGTTATCAGTACAGACCTGATCACCCTAAATACTCCAATTAGATCACCAGGTGATACACTATATGTCCAAATGTTTCCAGACACCCCTATAATTAGTGAATTCTACTTTAAGGTGCACCAAATGCTGACACACGTGATTCAACTGCACACACACTGCTTGTACAGTCTCTATAGGAAAGCATTGCTAATAAAATGGAACACTGTAAAGCTGTGGCACATGCGCTTAAGGTCAGCGTGTCCAACACAGAGGGGTATAAAGCCCCCCCAAAGCATTAATCTACCAACATCAGTTCCTGACCTCACTAATGCTCTTGTGGCTGAATCAAGTGCTCACAGTGTTCCAACATCTAGAGTAAAGCCTTCCCAGAAGAATAGAGGCTGTTGCTGCAGCAAAGACGGACAAACTCTCTATTAATACCATTGACCAGCAGGTGTCTATAAACTTTTGAACATTAAGTATATCTCCAAAAAATAATATAGCCAGTAAGTACTCCTATAATGTAGCAATGAAAATTGCTTTACCATCCAACACCACCTCCATTATGCAAAGCAACCCATGTGGCACCACGGAATGCATCACCAATAACATTCTGCACAGCCATATCTAAAATGCAAAGAGAGAAAAAGATTTAGATAAATAAATACATTTAGACAAGATGCGAGTGGGTTTCAGTGCGTGTACCTGCACAGAAGGCAGACCCATCATAAATGTTGGATGTCTCTCTGAAAGGGCTGTCTGTGCCACTGACATCATGATGATCTCTGCTGATCACCACAGGAGCCTAGAAAAAGAGAGAAAAGAACCTTAACTGCCACTTCAATATCCACCATATAGTATTAATGCATTGACTGTGTGTGTATATTGAGTTTTACTGTGACTCTGCCATCTGCGACAGCTTTGTTTATAGCCAAGGCGATGGATACTCTTCCCCTCTGGTCTGAGTAGAGAATACGGGCCTGAGAGCCCACCACCTACACACAGAAACACGTCATCACAATCATCCACAATGGGTGTTATGAGAGAGTGAACATTTTTAATTTTGGATTTTTATCCATTGATAATCATACCATTTTTAAATGTACCACTATTGTATTGTATCAGCATCTAATTGCTTATTACTCATACAGTGTCATAAGGAAAGTTACATATGACTTATGGCACTGTATATGGAGCTGTATTATTCACTACTGAACCAAATCATTCTCTTTGTACTGTACCATGTTGTGTTTCCCAGCCTCACGGATCCAGCGGATGTTGTCGCTGTACTGCTGCCGAATCCTCTCGGTTACAGAGGCACTGATCTCTTCAAGCACAGAGGTGGCGATGTCATCAGTCTGAG